TGCAATGGAGCTACAAAAAACGATGCCACTATATTGTCATGTGCATTCCACGGTGGGTATACTATTTGAAATTTGAAATATTTGCCGCTGACGAATTTGAAATGTTTCAGTTTTTTCCGCGATACGGTTGGGTGCTTGGTCGACCGCGGAGTGAACAGGAAGTCGCTGATCTTTATGCCAATACTCCACCTCCACGTAAATATTTTACTTCAACAAATACCAGAATGAACTCGAGTCGAGAAAAAATCGATTGAATTGATTGCTTTGTTGTGCTGAAACTGATGTTTCAGAGCATTTTCTTGCCATGGTCGAAGCGCTGGGAATGAATGAAGCGTTGATGCAATATTTCCAAGAAGGCGACAATGACAGCGAACAGCTGATTGGAGGAGATGAGAAATTTTAATCCTAAAGTGCTGGTTTGACTAGTTTCTTTTTGGAGGTGAAGCTTCGAATCAGCGCTTACCGTATCATTTTTGCTATCGGTGATTTCACATTCTGCAGGAACTGGTTTCAAACTCTACCTCATAGCACAAATTTCATGGTTTGACTTCATTGACACTCGTGAACAATAATAGTAATAGTCCTATAAGTCGTTGAGTTGCCTCTTGGATCATTCTTCCTTTGATCGGGACTCCATACAATTGGTTCATGATTGGGACAAGGGCGCGATGAAAGGTGGCAAGTTTTGATTAAATTAGTAGAATAAGGAACGTTAGGATGAAAGTGTGACTAAATTAGGCGTGCACTTCGCTTTTGGTTTCTTGAGATGTATCAGAACTCGAGGTGGAAGTGGTGTAGTGACAAGTGGCGCGCTTACCACGCGAGCGGTCCGGGGATCAAATCCTGGGTCGTGAGTCGCCCGGGCCAACCAAGCCTTCCATCCCTCCGGGGTCGGTTAATTGGTACCAGACTTGTCTGGGAGGATAAAAACACTGACTTGTACATCGGCTGGCCCCCGCAAGTCATTGTATAGGCCACATCGCATTCAAATGCCACTACGAATGTGGAATGGAAGTAGAATGCGTGGCGCATCCCAGACGGGATACGCCGGACGCTTAACCCTTTGTGCTTTTTAGGACTTCAGGACGTGGTTTCCTACTTATGTAATACATTGCTCATGAATTAGTAACTACTCTACAGAATCAATTAATCTTGCTAATTTTAGTTGGTCTTATTGTTATAAGCTTCGTCATACTGGCCGATAATTGATTTCATTCTGTGGATACACTTGATTTCACATCATTATTACTGATTAAGTATAAGTTCTAAAAGTACTGCTCATTGTCTAGTCTGCTTGTGGTTCAGTCCAATTCGATACAACGGTTTTTATAGAAGAAAACAGCACTCCTGTTCCTCGAAGGTTAATCAGTGGAGAGGCGTAATAGATACTTGATGCTGACGGAATAATCGGCTGTATCCGACATAAGAAAGATTGAGAACACTTCGGCGTTGAATAGTTTTGAAATTGCTTAACGAAAATGACTTCCATTCAGAAATGAGGTGGTGTTTGGAACTTGGGGCTGAGTGTCGCAAACACTTTGTTGTCATTAAAGGAATCTTGCGCGGAAAATTCTTGCACTCTTTCCTAACATGAATATGTCAGTTGTGATCACTGGAAATAGCACACAAAGTTTCACGCATGAAGATTCGGTTTCTGAAGAGAAACAAACGTACAAAAACTACACGTTATGGACCATCGAAGGACCAGGAGGCAGAGCCAGGCGAGGCATGGAAAGAAGACGGCGTTTGGCCGGCTACGTACCAGGCGACGCAATGAGAGAATCGGGTTAAAGCGCGCGATTTCGGAGAGTGGAGACAAATCGATCGATGGAATAGGATGGAGTAGAAGTGTAAGATGTGAATGCAACGAAGCAGAAGGCCAGAAAGAGCTTCTAGTGAATGCACTCCAAGAACCAAGTTTGAGCATCCCCGTCGCCAGCATTCGTGAAAGACGTCCGTGGGCAATTCGAACGCGTAGCAGCCTTTTCGAGTTTTCGAATTTCTAATCAAAACGAAAGCAATACTTCAGTTCTTTTCACTATTATCGTGGATAATGAGTCTCAAGCCAGTGATTTATGGCTGAAATAGAATCATGATTTTTCCGCGCAAGATTCCTTTAAGAAATGATGCAGGCGTCATTTGCCACTATCCACCTCAGCTCCCTTCGAAAACATTATTTACTGGTTCAACCCATCAACATCGGAAAGTCTGAAAACAGCTGACCACACCGTTGAGCTCCATTTACCAAAAGGTCACGCGGCCACACGCACATATCCGCACGTTCTCCCGCGGGATGCATGAAATAATTGGGATGGAGAGTGTTGAATGAAAGAATTCTATTGCTTACGAAGATTCGCTTCGTTCTTTTTATGCTTTACTTCAGTGTTGTTGTAAATATTTGTTTTGTTGTTTGCATTTGTTATTTGTTTTTTGCTCTTTAGTGAGATCAATAAAATATCAAGCTTTCACGAAATGAGAGTCTGTTCCGATTTTTTACTCTTGCTTCTTTCTAAAGGAGGGATTACGATAAAGATCGGAAAACCTGCGCCACACGAAGCGGTAGCGCGGCTACCAAGGAAGCAACCTGTGGCGCTTCCACAACGAAAGGTGCACTGGTTGCTGAGCAGTACTTGAAGAGGCGCTCCATTGACTTGAGAATGCTAGGACTTTGCAAGTGCTAGAGACGGCTGTCCAGACGGCACTGGTGGAACTCGTGCCTGGAAATCTGGATTGGTCATGGTACCACGAAATGCGTCGCATGTACGAAGTGCGTCCATAGTCCATCTCTGGCTCTGCCCATCTTTGAGGCGAAGATGTGGCGGCGAACAAGCGGTCCTTTCGCGTTATAAGCGGATTCGTGGCGTTTTCCACTATTGCGTACGACTCGAACCCTGCCATGTCTCTGGGACCTCTCTTGAAACCTATTGCTAATAACCAAGTGTTCAATGAGTAGTTAGAAGTATCTTGAACGTCTGAAATAGTCTTTAGGTATTCTCTGTTGCTATTTCACAACCGTCCAATTCGCAAGTAGCGAAATGGTTGACATATACTTGATCGGTTCATTGTTCCATCTCCCAAACATCTCCATATGTAAGGGAACATGACGAAAATACATACAATGGAGGCGGATCCCCGGGAAGGTCAATCGCTGCGTTTGTTCGATTCCAAATAGTTTACCATCCCACCCTCCTAACGGGTGATCCACCATACGCCCTCTTTCTTCCACCTCTACCGCCATCACGAACAAAAACTCCACCCCGAAAACACCTCCAGAAGTGCAGTACCTCCCGAGGAAAGGAGAATTGAAGAGAATATGACATCCATATAATTTTTGAGAAACAAATATTGCAATTTCGTCCGTTCCACTCTCAATCCCGAGAAAGGATCTCTCCCACAAACACGACCCTTTCCCTTCCACAAATAGGATCCCGCCCGGATTTTATGCGGACGGCTTATTGTTGACCCTATTATTCTTTTCCAAAAACCATAAGTGTGAGTCCTGCTCGCAAAGACGGTTGGCCCTGGCGAAGGTTCCCGAGGCACCCGTGAGAAATGTAGCAGTGCGCTCGTTTTTTAACGAGCGATTCTACTATTCAGCCAACACTAAACCTTTTTTCCCACATTGGATCGATGTATATCATTTAGAGAAAACTTGCTTTCATTGTTCAATTTTTTTCGAGGCAGGAGAACACCATTACCCTTTGATGTCCCACTTTTCAAAGTTTGGGCCGCTTAAATTTGTTCCGATGATAAATATTTCAGATTTCAAATGCTATATCCACCATGCGACTTCCTGTTCATTCCGCGGTCGACGAAGCATCCAACCGTATCGTGGAAAACACTGAATCATTTCCAAATTCGTCAGCGGCAAATATTTCAAATTTCAAATGGTGTTACCACCCGTGGCCAGACCATTGCAAGGGGTGCTTTGGACTAAGAAACACGAGCACCGCTTTGCTTCATGCGAAAGCGTCTGGCCCTCATGTCACCAATTTCTTGGTGCCAGCGCTTGTGGCGCAATCTCTAGCATTTTCACGCCGAATGAAGCGATATTCGTGTTCCCTGTGAAAATATTCATGTGGATAAGCGAATTCAAGGGGGGTCAAGCGCCGGCACCGTCAAGCTAAACACCCTAGAGGCGATTTCGGCGCCAAGAGCTTGTGGTAATTTGCGTTCCCTAAATTAAACTGCTTCCGTACGCCAAATTCTAGCCCAATCTAGTGAAAATGGACAATTGTCAAGGAATTGTACGGTGAATGGAAACACGATCGGTTGTATTTCTGGGCTTAGTACTCGCCGCTCCTATAAGTGTTAGTGGCACATACAGAAAACACCCCAAAGAATGAGCTTCATCCAAAAAATATTCACTGGTGTGCAAAACATAGGACGAACGTAGATTTTTCCACACGCCAACTTGTAACTTGCGTAACATGACTCTATGGAACCTAATCACACATACAAAGAGCTGCCACAGGGCACTAAAGAAAGCAGTTAACAGGAAGCCGTTAAACGGTCCACAAAGCTAAGAAGAAGGTTATGAAACTCCATCTGTCTCGTCCTTAAGTTTTGCACACCAGTGTACTTAATCGAGGGAGGAGGACGAGAGAGCTGAACGAACATCATTGTAGGAGCAAAAAATATAGTTGCCAATTTCAAAAAATCAAAGTGCCTTTCTGTGAATTATAGGCTAGTAGCATACATTATACAAGTATTCATTGGTGTCATAGCAAAGAATAAATCTCAAAAACTCGAGCTGGACTCTCCAACACTTCGAGTCTCATTTTTTAGTTTTGGATTTGCTCGTATAAATGAAATCACTTGTGGTGAGCATCGTTTGTCCTGCAATATGTTGGGTTTTACAAGTTAACATTTAGCTTTACAACTCTGTTTATCCATCGTGTGCATTACCTTTCAGTGATACTCAAATAATAATAAATAAATAAATAAATTTAGAGATGCCTTCTGCTTTGAATGGATATTGAAATGCATAGCCCAACCCGCTAAATTAAACAGGCAAATCTCTTGACAAATTTTGTTGTGTGTACAATTTAGCATATCGCTTGAAAGGATCTATAAGCACCCGATTCGAAGAGCTATCTTTATAGAAGAAAAAATGCGATACTCTCAGCAGCGATAATCCTTTAAAGGTTTTTCTAAAACGACCTATTTCTCCGAAATCCCTATAAAATCCTTTCACATAATTCTGGCCCATAGCACTTCTTGAAGAAGCCCATCATCCCATTCGATCCGCTCGTTTCCCCACAAGTACTCTCCTGTTCTGCTAACCCTGTCCCGTTTCCGTGTCGGACCATGCAACAATCGGTAGTGTCGGCTTCTCTGGCCGCCAATTGATCGTTTTCTTCATGGGTGGTCTGCACCCGCCCCCTCGGCGGACTTCCCTCG